GGTGCGATCAGCGCCTTTATTATAAAAATAAAATAAAAACAGGTGGTATAAGTCAGACAGAGTCAACGCGAGTTGCGAAGGCGGCACCACCCTTATAACGCGAGTCACAGCCCTAATTCGGAAGGACTCGGCAATTTGGCCGCGATGGCGAAAGATCCTGATGGTTACCCGGTACTGGATGATATTCAGGGCGATCCTGAATCCACTGGGGGTCCAAAAACACGCGCGGGTCGAAGTCTTTCACCCTGTGGTATTCACGTACTAGTGCTCGCAAGGCCTGCTTTCGACCGGCCCGTCGAATCCGACCCATCAGTTCACCCCTGCGAACATATTCTTCAAGATTATTATTCTACTTCGCTAAATGAGAGTGCACTAATCGACGACGGTATTTGATTCCACGCAGAAGATCGCGAAGTCCTACACTAACCGCAATACGGTGGTGCAGTAAAGAAAGAGAAAAATCAGAGCGTGCTTCGTATTTTCTAAGAGAAAAGGAAAAACGATGGAGTGATGCAAAAATTCAGTTAAAAAGAATAGGCCTATAATTGAGACAATAGAGAATAATATAGACAACTTTAGGATCCTTTTACAGCTCATTCCACAAATGTGCTTTTTGTCCTGTTTCTTGCACATTGCTATTTTTTTTATTTTTTTTTATCTCGTTTTATTTTCGTTTTCTATTGCACGAGATGAAAGTTAATGAAAGAAGCAAGAAACACATGGCTAGACATACAATTCTTGGCCGCAAAAAGGAAGAAATCAAGAATCAGGAAACAAAAAACAACAGATTTAAGCGTTGTTACGAGTGAACACTGTATACATTTATATTAAAGCAGCGTATAATATACATATCTATAACCGAACGAACACTGAACAATTCGCGAACATTCATTGACTGTATTCAGCAGTGGCGTTTTTTTTCTTATGCAATCAGAAACAACCACGTGCTAAGACTCTTCGTCTTTTGACTTTTGATGAAGGCGAAGATAGCCTTAGCTTCTGATTGGATAATGAAAAAACACCCTCAGATATAAATGCCAAAGCGAATTAAAATCGAACATTCGATTCGCTTTTGACTTACTTTCTTGTATGAAGCGATATATACAAAGACAATTCGCGATGTAGACTTGCAAAACACAGCGTTCGCTGTTTGATTATTTTCACCGTTTGAATCACCGTAACTTTTTTTATATACTACATATATTATATCTATGTCATAAAATTATTGAAAGCTTTAAATGAAGACTATATACTTACTAAACTAATTTTATATACTTACTGCACAATGTAATTACGTCACTTTTAATTTTTTTTTTTAAGTAAAAGTATCGATCTCAAGCGAAGCTACAACGACAGCAACTCTAGATCGAATGGATCCATTCGATCGTTCGGTCCGTGCTCGACGCAATTATTTTGGAAAAAGGTACGAATATTCATGAATTTGGACACCGACAAGATACTATTAAAGACTGTCAACTCTCGGTAAATTTTCGGCAAAAAGGGTCCCAAGATCATTGAAGAATGCTGACATTATCGACAATTGATATAAATTTGCTATTATTAACATAAATATTTGGCTTATACATTATTAAATTCATGATTTTTTATTACATAAATGTTCCATAAATAAATGTGCATACTTGTAAAGCTATAATATATTGCAGAAAAATTACAATTTTTTCTCTGCAGTTATCATCTCTGTTGATAATCAAACTTTGACGATACACTGAAGTTACAATTTTAAAGAAAAATCGAGTATTTTATTGAGTTCTAAATGCATAAATATGTCTACTAATAAATCATAGTCTACTAATAAATTAAATCATAAAATTAGTACAATATTATCAGTTTTTAACTCTTAATTACTTCAATATTCATAAGGACGCGAACTCTCATAAGGATGTCGATCTTTAATAGTATCTTGTCGATGATATGATTTCCCCTAAGGGCGCAAATGTGAAAAGTGAAAAATTTTTGTATGTGCATATGTATAGTCAGATTCTAAGAGGTTGCAATCCTTTCTTTCGATGGGTTTCGAAATGCAGTCTATTCACCGAGCAATTGATTTTTATTTGTCGATCCATAAATAAGAATCAATCGCTCGGTGAACAAGCTGTATTCCGAAATTCATTTAAAAAAAAGTATTACAACTTTTTAGGCCCTATAGGCCTGTTCTTTTTGGCTGAACTTTTGCACCAGTTCATCTTTCTTTCTTTTCTCTCCAGGAAGAAAAACAGCCAAAAATAATAGGTCTTATATGTATATGTTTATACACTGTTAGAAATATAATTATGAGCTTCCTTTACATGTAGGTAAATGAACGTGGTTATGAACGAAATTAAAAGTAATGAATGATTTAACTGAAAATTAAGTTACAGAGTAGTTATTTAAATGTAATGAATATGTATTATACGTTAAATTTATGAAATGTAATGTACTTTTTAGTTATAAAAAGTTTTATGAAAAGTACATTAAATTTCATAAATTTTCATGAAAAATACATTAAATTTCATGTACATGTACACAAGTGTACTTTTCAATTAATAGATATATTAAATTTAATGTAATGTCATGAAATTAAGTTCAAATTGTAAGTAACTTAAATTTCATGAAATTTTTAACAGTGTACATAAAACATAAAAATTTTCACATTTCTGTTCTAGAGAAAAATTATATGATCGATATCCAGGGCTCTTATTCTTGAAAAGTATCGCACACGAAAAACTAGGAAAATATTATAGTATTCGTTATATACACTATAGTATTTTCCTATTTTTAGAAAGCGATACTTTTCAAGAATAGAGGCTCTGTCCGAATGTTCGCTGTTCGTTTGTTACCCAAGCTACCTCAGCACGCAATATTAAAAAAACATTTTTTAAACATTTATTCAATATTTTTACATTAAATAAATATTTAGAAAATATTTTTTTTAATATCGTATATACGCGGCTTAATAAACGTTATCCACTTAGAGTACAAACCCATGCAGCGGAATAACGTAATGTGGAACGCGAATAAAATCAATCACAAACGTTCCGCTGCGGAATTTCGCGACACCCTGTATTATAAAATATAAATTGTACCGACTGAAATTATCATGTAAACTGTGTTCTCTGGGTTTTGACTTCGACCAAACGAGGGCGACACGCATCAAAATTTAGCCGCCTGTACTCCAAGAATTGCCAGAATAATTTCTCTTGTCAGCAATCTTTTATCATCTATTCGTATTAAATTCGCCTCGACAGCTATCCGAGTGCGAATAAAACGGTGACGATAATCCACGGTGACTTAAAACGACATAAATCTCAAAATAATTCATACACAAGGAACGTTTTAATCATTTTTCACGGGGAAAATCATTATTTCTCCTCATTAATTCTTTCCATCGGTCACGACGAACGTGTCATAAATAACGATCGGTGGCATTTTGATTATTCGGCGACGCAGCATCGCGCTCGCCGTATTCCTCTCGTTTTTTATTAAAAAATTTCGTTTCATTTGCCGCGGATACGCCCGCGAGGAGATCGGAGCGTAAACGATATCTCGCGTCGTCCCTTGGAACGGCCAACCAATTCAACTTCTCCAGACTCCGGATGCGGAACAGCTGACTCGGCTGAGCGCGTGACGAAGAAGTACCGTTCGCTTGATTACGCGCGAGATCGAGGCGAGCCGGCGAGCCGCGAGCGGGCAGAATTTGCAAGTCATTCGAGTCATCTACGGTCACGATTGCTGTTTCACGGTCGGATCCATCGCTCGGGGCGGACGGGGACGCGCGCGGAATTTTTCCCTTGTTTTTATACCTACATAGGATGAGAGGACGGAATGTACCATCGTCATTTCTGTGAAGACGGTCATATCTCGTTCTCGAAAGTCTCCACCTGAGGAGCGCACGAATGAGCAAAAATTCCAAATGATTTTATTCTGATTCTTAACGTTAATGAATAGTCCAATTTTGTAATAAAAAAAATGATTATTTTAATTTTCACGGCGTCAAAATCAAGTCGTTTTGACTTTCTCTTGACTTGGTCATTCCTTTACGGCATGACGCGGAAAATTCGGAGTATATCGATCATATAATGTTTTCTCAAGAACAAAATGTGTGAAAAAGTAAAAATTTTTATACAACATACGGCAGTACTTTCACTTTTCACGTTTCCGTTCTAGAGAAAAACTTAATTACTCCGATTTCGACTACTGTTGATGCAGATTTCTACTTCTGTTTATTGATGAAAATCACAATGGACAAATTTATTAATTTCAAGATACATAACTTTGATTTCGAGGAAGTCAATTAATTATTGTCTTATCTTGAAATGAGATGAAGGAATGAAAGCGAGAGAGAAAGAAAGCGAGCGAGCGAGAGAGAGAGAGAGAGAGAGAGAGAGAGAGAGAGAGAGAGAGAGAATTACAAAAGTGAGCGAATTTCTCAGAATATTTATAATTCCATTGTGAACATCTACTGAATAATTTGCTCACTTCGTAATTTTCACTCCATTTATTATAAAAACACAATCGCAGGCTCCGAACAGCGAAGTTGGAACTCCTTTTTGTCCTAACAATAAGATGAAAAATCTATAAAATTCCAGGGAGATCTCGGTATCGCGAAATACATTCGTTTACAATTCGAGTTTCGCGTCTCCGACGGATTTCCCGGAGTCTTCTCTTCAACGCGAAACGAGTCCGCGAGCATTTAATTTCACGGATATCGAACAGAGATCTCCCCCAGATCTCCGATCGCGCTTGCTGAAATCTCGGGGAACAACCCGGCGCAAGTCGAAGAAGCATTCGCTGAAAATCATCCTTCTCTGCGCAGCTGATTTCTCTTAAACGCGCCTCACGCCGTCCATCGCGCGATTCATCGGCCGTATATATATATATATATATATATTTATTTATTACCGAGTCACCGTCAGGGTCGCGGTGGATTATTAGCCGAGCCAGCCAACCAGTTAACGTTGGCCGACCGCTATCAGCGGCGCGGACAAAGGTACACCGGCGTATCTACGGTACAAATCGTGACGAAGCGATCTCGGGTTTTCGCGCCGCCGGCAGCGGCGGCGGCGGCGGCGGCGACGGAGCGACGGTGACGACGGCGACGGTGACAGTCACTGACAGTAAGCGGTCGGCGGCAACGAGAAGAAATCCCGCCCGCGCCGCTCCGAATTCCGACTTCCGACTTCGTCGTAATTGATGTCTGTGATTGATCGCGATTCGTGTGGCGGTGGAAACACGTGCTTATGCAAATTGCACGAAGCGACTCGGTCGGCTGGCTCAAGTCACGAGAAGAGACATTTGTATAGTAAAAGTGAAAAACCTCTAACCTCTCGCTCCCTCCCACGGAGGTTATCATAGGATCTGAGATTGAAAATTCAAACGCATGGTACTGCGGTCCTTTTCTTCGATCGGAAAATCAATGACTTTACTCTGACGTCACGAGAGTTTCAAGATGATAATTCTTTATTACAAAGTTTCACCGTTCATCGACGTTTAAGAATCGTCAAGATAAAGTCATTTCGATTTTGATTTTGATTTTTTTTATTTTTTTTTTTGGGGGGTTGATTTTCGTGTTCCCTTGCCCTTGGGTGTCGCCGTCGGCCTGTCACCCGTCGTTCGTTCGCTCGGTGACGCCGCATCTATCGGAGCAGGGCCGAAGCCCGGAGGTGGAGGATGCCTGCGTCATCGTGTATCATCGGCGAGATCGATCGTGAAACATGATCACGCCGCCTTACTTCTATCCGCCGCATTTATCCATCTCGCTCGCGCGTCCACGTCGGTGACTCCTCGACGAAGGTAGATTGCCCTGGTGATCTGGGCAGGCCGGGTAAGTGCTATGCGTACGCGAGATGTTACGCGCGCGCGCGCGCGCGCGGAGAGGCGATCTCGGGCGATCATCTCCGTGACGGATTTCATCGTTGGAAACCATCCCGCGATCACGTGCGACGATTTTGCGACACCATGTATTGAGTGACTCGCGTCGCGCGATTACGCTGCTTATTATTGCGCGTGACGGCCTCCGCGGCTTTTCCGCACGATACCTAGGTCTGTCTTTTTTTTTTTTTCATTCCCGCACTACGCTACACCACGCACTTGCATGCACTGCACCACTTACATCTCTCTCATTCTCTCGTTTTCGCTGGATATCAAACGTATACCTACCTCACTTTTAAGTTCCTAAAGTGTACTACCCAAGGAACACGCAAAAGTCAATAAAAAATCAAGAGGACCCTACTTTGATTCTGATGAAGATTCTGAATGTCTAAAAACAGTCAGATTTTGCAACGAAAAATTATCATTTTGATTTTCACGACGTCAAAATTAAGTTATTTTGACACTTTCTTTTGATTTGGGATGTTCCTTGAGTAGTTCAGGCAGAGAAAACAGATCTAACGGGGGTACGCCGTCGCGATGCTGTTGTTGTTGTTGTTGTCGGTCCGTCAGAATGTGATGGAAACACCGGTCTCGGGGAACGGGTGATAGCTCCGTGACTTGGACGAGTTCCGGGAAGGAAAGGAGAATCGAGCGGAGTGCGTACGCGCGCGCGATGACGCGAACGTATGTAAATATCTAAAGGCGCAATTCTCGCTTTGCAGCTCTACTTTAATGGATGGAGAGAAAGATTGTCAATGGAAGAAAGAGGCCCGGGACGATGCTCCGTCGCCGGGTGCTGTTCCGTTCGCGTCAGGGGAGGAAACGGATTGGGAAGGCATGCTCAACACGGAGCGGCAGCGGGGTGACCTCGGGGACATGACGTTCTGCATGGCCAACTACCTGAAGGAGACTATGAAGATGATGTTTATGATGCGCAGCCATCATATGCTGACTGACGTGATACTGGAAGTCGGTACCGAACTGTTTCACGCACATAAAGTTATTTTAGCAGCAGCTAGTCCTTACTTTAAGGTAAGCTTGATAGCTGTATGCAAATCAAGTGCTTTGCATTTAGTGATACAAGCCAATACAAGTGTCGTTCTATCTTTGTTAGTTTCTGAATGTCAAGAAAGAATGATGTTTGCGTCAACTTGTGTCACTAAATGCAAAGCAGCCAGCGTTACACTCGAGATTTTCTTGGTAACATAATTTATGTTTGTTTCTATCAGTGTAGATTAACTTTAATCTCTCGGTTCAACTTACTCTTCATCTTTTTCTAAGTCTTGGAACTAGAAAAAGGTGAAGAATCTATATTGGTAGAAATGAGCATTCTTGACATGATATTGGCTCAAAATATATTCTAATGTTTAACCAGTGAATCGTTATCAGGATTGCTTTTTATTGCTGAACTATATATAGACTACACTAGAACTTCTTGCTTTTGTCAAGTTTCAAATATATATTTCACTTTGAGTACAAACAGTTTACCTTTAAAGCGCTGATAGACTTTCAATTTGTTTGCTTATTTTTTACTTGCAAAGGAGTTTATGGAATTAGAATGGATGAAGATTATTAGTTGATGTTGACTAGCTTTAACATTTCAGGCAATGTTTACTGGAGGATTGAAGGAATGCGAGATGACAAGAGTGAAGCTCCAGGGTGTTTGTCCAACTACGATGGCTCGCTTAATGTACTTCATGTATACTGGTCAAATAAGAGTTACTGAGATTACTGTATGTTCGCTGCTGTCAGCAGCTACCATGTTCCAGGTACGTAAACAAATAATTTTAAAGAAAATAAACATATAAAACAAAGAATTGTATCAAATACCGCAGAGTACAGACTAGTAGTAATATTACATCAATGTTATAATTTTCTACTCAATAGTATAACTGGTAAGTTCGTATAACACATGTTATTGCATTTATATTGTTAAATGAAAAATTAGAATATTGACTGTTATTTTATTTTCTGAATGTAAATAGATTAATTAATATATTGATATAGGATTTGATATCTACTGATTTAATGTTTGATAAAAAAAAAAATGTGTATTTTCATGCAGGTTAGCAATGTGATAGATGCGTGTAGTGTTTTTCTGGAAAGACAACTCGATCCCACAAACGCGATTGGCATCGCCAACTTTGCTGAGCAGCACGGTTGCCATGATCTGTACCATAAGGCGAATCAATTCATTGTTCAGCACTTTAACCAGATATGCCAAGAGGAGGAGTTCTTGCAACTGTCCGCCATACAGTTGGTGACGCTCATCAGAAAGGACGAGTTGAATGTACAAGAGGAAAGGGAGGTTTACAACGCTGTGCTGAAGTGGGTCAAGTATAACGAAGAGGCGAGGCGGCCCAAGATGGAACATATACTGCACGCGGTACGTTGCCAGTACCTCACGCCAAACTTTCTACGGGAGCAGATGAAAAATTGCGACGTGCTGAAGAAGGTGCCAGCGTGTCGCGAGTATCTGGCGCAGATCTTTAAAGACTTGACGTTGCACAAGAAGCCGGTTGTGAAAGAGCGTACGCCTAACACGCGGCGGGTAATATACATCGCCGGTGGTTTCTTCAAACACTCGCTCGATGTTCTAGAAGGCTACAACGCCGATGACAAGGCGTGGACGCAACACGCCAAGCTCATCGTTCCCAGATCTGGTTTAGGCGGTGCGTTTCTCAAGGGAATGTTCTACGCAGTCGGTGGGAGACACAATTCACCGGGAAGCAGGTTAGCACTTGGACGCCGATTGTGTTCGATGTTTCGGAAGTATAGTAATATGAAGTGTTCGGAAAATTACCTGGAAAATCTTAAAAAACTCAAATTCTCAAGAAACTTTTCCTGCCTGAAGAAATAAAGGAATTCTTATGGAATTTTATTGAAACTCGAGAACTTTTTATAAAAATTATGTCTTTGATTTTGTTTCTATTTTGCGAAAATCAAAGTGCTATATTTTGGTACCAAAACGTGCCATGTAAGTTTGTTTTTTTTTAGATTTTTAAAATATCTTATTTAGACATCTATTTATATATTCTTTAAAAAAAATTCTCTTGAAAAATTAGAACGTGACACTTTTTATATTTATACTGAATTCTGTCTCCTTTATAAGTATTTTTATAAGAAATAGAAAATATAGCTAAAATTCAAATAATACATTTATTTTTACTTTAAAATACCTAAAAATACTCTAATTTTGGAGATCTACATAGAAATACATTAAAAAATCTGGAAATTTATGCTGCGATATATTAAATATAGTTATCAGATAATAACACATAAAAACAACATGAAAAATTATGATTGACATACCGCTTCACGCAGGTGGCTTCAAATGCGAACGTTAAACTTTGAAATATAACTAACAAAATCATACGACTTTTCTCAGGTATGACAGCGACTGGGTTGACAGGTATAATCCAATGACAGATCAATGGCGACCATGTAGCCCGATGTCGGTACCGAGGAATAGGGTCGGAGTCGCCGTTATGGACGGTCTATTGTATGCTGTGGGTGGCAGCGCAGGCGTTGAATATCACAATAGTGTCGAATGTTATGACCCGGATCAAGATACGTGGACCAGTGTAAAACCTATGCATATCAAGAGATTAGGCGTCGGAATAGCAGTAGTGAATAGGTACTATTTGTCAAAGCGTCGATATTCATTGAACGATAAAAATGTTAATCACATAATTGCTTATGAAAACAAAGGATTACATTTAAATTTTAAAGTAAATCATATTTAGCTGTGTGACATTAGTATGATAATTATATTACTAATTGCAGTATTCTGAATGTCACATAAAAGACATACACCTTTTATTTTATTTAAAAATGAAAGGTGTATTTATATACCATTGTAATCATTAAAAGTTATACATATAATATGTTAAATCTTTATGGTATATAATGTAAAAAAATACATTTCTGACAGATTGCTTTACGCGATCGGTGGCTTCGACGGCAAGGACCGGCTCAGCTCAGTGGAATGTTACCATCCTGAGAATGATGAATGGACGATGGTATCACCTATGAAGTGCAGTCGCTCAGGAGCTGGTGTGGCCAGTCTGGGCCAGTATATATATGTTATAGGCGGATACGACGGAAAATCGCAATTGAATTCGGTAGAGAGGTACGACACGGAGCACGACATATGGGAGAACGTGAGCAGCGTCACCATCGCCCGCAGTGCTCTTAGCGTCACCATTCTTGACGGCAAACTATTCGCAATGGGTAAGTATGATTCTCTCAATCTTTGTCGAAATAATAAAGCTGTTTTTTTTAGAGAGGCATTTCATAAATAATGTACACATACGATTTTTTTTTAGGAGGATACGATGGTACGACGTTTTTAAATATAGTAGAAATTTACGACCCGATTCAGGATCAATGGGCCCAAGGTGTGCCTATGACATCAGGAAGATCCGGCCACGCTAGTGCAGTATCATATTATCAGTGTCCTATACATTGTGATCATTTGGACTATAATATCTCGCTAGAGAAACCGCCATCGTGATACACGGAACTGATATACTTTTTAGGAGACATTAAAAAAAGATAGTCAAATTTTTTCATTTGCGAAACAAACTGGGACTTTAAAATACAGTGCGAAACGAAGTTCCATACACTTGAACTGTGTGATATAAACTGGAAAGAATGGGGATATAAATTATCCTTCAATTGTTTGTAATTGAATTGAGCAGTGTATCATATAATACTTGGGACGTGTCATCAAACCGGACCATTATTTGGTTAGAAAATTTCAACTAGCTAATTGAAAACGCTTTCTCGATAAAAGAAAATAACTTTTATTATTTTGCAGTTTATCGAAGGACCAATTTATCTTATTCATTAGGATAAATGCGACTCGGCTATATTTTATAGCTTTATCGCTTTTTAATTATAGATAATTCTATAAATAATATAATGTATAGAAAAATAATATATAATGTATATATTCTTGTAGCGTAAGAAAATTATTTTCAAAAAAATATAGAAATTTTTTTTCTTATTAGTTTAGTGCTTAATTATCGCTATCTTTCGTAGCATTACTGTCGTCATCATAATCTCTATCGATTTGTTTTATTGAAATTTTTATCGAATTTATTATTGCGCGCCAATATCAGGCGTTAATACAAATTTATGTTAATATCGACTTGAATTTATCTAAATGCCAAAGCAGCACTTTTATAGAAAGTTATGCAAGCGATGCTTATGTGTTTAAAATGGACGTTTAGAGACAAAGATACAGCAGACAAATTCCTGCAACATTAAAGTAATCGAATTTCTGTAAAACAAATAGTCCTCGTATATCGTACTACAATAAAAAAAATTGTGATAGAATGGCGCATACGGGATGCAAGAAATATGTTATGTGTCCCATGTGCAAAGGCGCAGGTAGGAATTACACGATTGCGAATTCTTTTATAAATGCCAGTATTTATTTCGTGATAAAAACTGTCTTGAATAAAAGGTAAGTCTGCCTCACGTGCGGCGGTGGAAACGACTTCCTTATCTATTCAGCATGAGAATGCAAATTCATCACAAGTTGCAAAAACGCAATTTGTCGAAGTATATTCCGGGGCTTCGGGCGACCTACGTTTTCCCACGTTATCTGACAGGTACATCGAGCACGTTTAATTTCTTCGCATTTTATTAAAATTTTAACATGGGACAAATTATTGAATTAAGTCAAATTAGTAAATTACAAACAAAATATATTATATTGCATATAAATAGCAATAAACGTTGAATGTATTACTCATGTTCGAATATGTGTATTTTCAGTAATAAATATCCGAAGGTTAATCCTACGGATATTTATGGGGATTACGTATCTGTGCTGGAGAACGATTGTGTAGAAACACAAGAGGAATTCGCGAGTCCACATGAAGCATTGAAACACGCCATGCAGAGCTTAAAGCAGAATCAATGGCAAAGCAGTGTACCGGCTTTAACAAAGCTAATGCACATTTCGAGAATTCAACCGGAATTACTAGACTCCAACATGCCTCGTATATATCGAACATTATGCAGGTCATTGGAGCATCTCTATTATATATCTCCTCTCTAAATTCTTCTTAGAATGAGAATGTAATCTCATTCTAAAGAACGAAAATTAAGTCACTCTTGACAAAAAGTAGCGCAAATTTCAATCT